TCGTGTTGAGGAAGCACAAGCTCGTGTTGAGAACACCAATTTTGGTGATACGGGACCCGAGGACAGGGAGGAGGAAGAGGAAGCTCGTGTTGAGGACAATATACCCGAGAACTTCGATCAAGACATGCCCCCGGATGACGTCGATCTCGAGGGTGCGGACACTGACTTGGGAACCATGGGCTGGACGGACGAGGACTTGGACGAGCTACAGCAGATGGCATGCCTTGAAGATGCCCAGGATTCAATGTCATTCATTACTGCTCTCCGAAAAGCATCCCTAGACGACACACACTCTAAACTACCTCCAGACGCACTAGACAGACTTCGAAACCCTCCCCGCGAACTCCCCGATATGTCAGATCCTGATCTTATCCTTTCATTAAAATATTACTTTGCAAATACAACAATCGCTGCTTACAATCTTATCCGCGAGGCCACGATCGAACGACACCCCGAAGATGATGTATATAGTCATTACCGGGTTAAGCAAGCTGTCTGTGAACTTAGTGGTGTCGTCCCGATCGTTAATGACATGTGTACCAACACATGTCTCGCATTCACAGGTCCGTACGCCGAGCTCGATCATTGTCCTCGATGTGGAGAAGATCGATGGGACGCCAAAAAAAGCTCACCTCACAAGAAGGTAGCTCGGAAAACGTTTGACACATTTCCTGTTGGACCGCAGCTCCAGGCCCTATGGCGCCATCCAGACCAGGCAAAGAAGATGCGATGGCGCCAGGAGTACACCAACAAGATCATCAATGAATTGAAGACAACCGACGGCGTTCCGGAGGTATATGAAGATGTTCTTCATGGGAAGCAATATCTGGACGCGTGCCAATCTGGCAAAATTAAAGATGGTGATGCGGTTCTTATGTTCTCGATCGATGGTGCCCAGCTCTATGAATCCAAACAATCCGACTGTTGGATATATATTTGGGTAATTTTCGATCATGCGCCAGACGTCCGGTACAAGAAGAAGTACATACTCCCGGGCGGTATCATTCCTGGCCCCAAAAAACCCAAAAATCTAGATTCTTTCATTTTCCCCGGCCTACACCATCTTCGCGCAATTCAGACAGAAGGGCTTCCAATTTGGGATGGCGCGAAGAAGGCTCTATTTCAATCTAATCCCTTTCTCTTTGTTGCAACAGCTGACGGCCCCGGCATGGCATTTCTTACTGGCCTCGTGGGTCACCATGGCAGATTCGCATGTCGTCTCTATTGCGGACTCCCAGGGAGACACAAACCAGGTGCACCTACGTACTATCCTGCCCTACGTCAACCTGAAGGTACTGATCAACCTGATCACCCCGACTTCTTCATTGATCGGCTTCCCCTTCCCGGATCATTTGATTATGAACGGAACCTCAAGCGTGTGATCCGCTGTTCCAACATGGCCGAATACGAGCTTGCACGCCTCGAGACAGGCATTACGAAACCAAGCATCTTCTGCGGCTTCGACACTGACCGTATTTTGCTGGTGCCGCTGTGCTTTGGCTCTGACATCATGCACATCGCTGCCATCAATACCGGTGATCTCCTTCTACCCCTCTGGAGAGGAACCTTTAGAGCCGAGACTACGGATGATAAATCCACGTGGGCCTGGGCTGTTCTGACTAGTGCTGCCGAAGTCCGGTTCGGTTCGGTTCTTGGGGCAAATTTTCCGAACGCCGAACCGAACCATAGGTTCGGTTCAGCCATTTGGTCGAACCCTGGACCGAACGTCACCGAACGCGTTCGGGAGGGTCCGGTTCGCGTTCGAACCAGGTTCGACTAAGCTTGGACCATCTGTGGTTGTATAGGCTCGAGACCATGAGTTGTCATGTACCGGCGGCCAAAACCAAAAGTGAAAAACTTGAGATCAGTGATCACCGCGCACACGACCTGCATCGTCGCGCGATGCGCAAAGCCTGTAGTGAAAGGTGGTCGTCCATTATCGCATCATCACAACTGAAATAAGACGTACCTCCAATAGTGACAGGTCTCCACCTGAGACCCTCGAGGATGAACACGGTAACTTGCGGCATAGCTTGAGCTCGAACGAAGACCGACAGACTCACGAACTGCGAACGGTGGGCAACAACTTGTATCAGCATGGCTGTTGCTCGAACGAGGATCGACACACTCACGACCTGCGAACGGTGGCCAACGTCTTGGATCAGCACGGCTCTTGTTCGAACGAGGAACGGTGGCCTGGTCCGCCAACGATTTGGATCAGAATGGTTCGAGCTCGAAAATCTTGACATACTCACTTCCTGCGAACAATAAGCAACGACTTTGATCAGCATGGCTCATAACATTCCCAAGTAGTACTTACCTATATTAATCATTAGCAAGAGTTCAAAGTGTTTGGAATTCATATAGCGACATAAGATACCTAGTGTTTGAACATGTTGTGACGGTGCAGTACTGTGTCACAGCGCGTCACGACTGCGGCAGGCGCGACAGAGGACCGCGTCAATTTCACCCGGCTCAAACCTGCGCGGGTTGCAGACACATGCATTTGCATATATTGACACATAGTAAATACTTACATCTTTTTAAAAAAGTGTAAAGCGTACAAAAATTGAGAGGTTCGAACCCGTTCGAACCTATTCACTACCAGCCCGAACCCCGAACCTCTGGAAAGGTTCGGTTCTGAGTCTTGGCCGAACCTTGGACCGGACCATGCGTCCGGTTCGGAAAGGTTCAGGTTCGAACCGAGGTTCGGAACCGGACTGCGGCAGCACTAGTTCTGACGAAGGCGACTTGGAAGGCACATAGATCTCTGATCACAGATGCAACACCCTTTCTGCCGGGTTCGTTTGATCGACCTCCTCGTAACCCAGCAGAGAAGATCAATAGTGGGTATAAGGCCTGGGAATGGCTTCTCTACCTGTATGGGATGGCACCGGCCACACTCTACGGCATCCTTCCTGAGCCCTATTGGTCGCATTTCTGTCGTCTTGCCCGGGGACTACGTATAATGCAACAATACCATATATCTAGATCAGATCTCATTGAAGGCCACCATCACCTTCTTAACTTCGCGGATGAATTTGAAGAGCTCTACTACCAGCGCCGGATCGATCGACTTCATTTCGTTCGACCATGGCTCCACTCGATCACACATATCGCTGGTGAGACAGTCAACAAGGGACCACCTATCTGCTCATCACAATGGACTATGGAGCGAACTATTGGCAACCTAGCTCAAGAGATACGACTACACAACTCCTCTGTCTACGCTAATCTCTCTCAACGTGCTGCCCGTCGTTGTCAAGTCAATGCCATCAAGGCTATCATACCAACAATCGAACCATCGGATAATGCTTCCCCGAAGGGCTCGTTGGATATCGGCCAGGGATATTTACTGCTGCGGCGAAGAGAGAGGACAGCTCACGCAGTACGTCCCTGTGAGGCCCAAGTACTACTTCGCTACCTGTCCGACAACAATGTTCATGTTACCTCCGCCCCTCTCATCACTCGATGGGCTCGTCTTCGCCTTCCAAATGGGCAAGTTGCACGGTCTGCATGGAAGGAAAATGCTATGTCCAAGCAACCAAGAATGGCATGCAATGTGAAGGTATGTTTTTCATGGTCACTCTATTAGTATTATACATTGACACGTACACTAAAGTTATTGATTGACGGCAAGACCACTGTTGCCGAAGTCTTATTTTATTTCAATATGATGCTTCACGACGAAGAGAAGACCTTTGCTTTCGTATCTGAATTCAGCCAGCCGCACACAGATCTATTTGAAAACTCGTCGCAAACGGTCTTTGCCTGTCGTTATCGTGGAGACGCTTCATTGAAACTTGTCGAGGTTCATACTATACAGTCTGTGGTGGCTATGATTCCTCATAATTTTCCGGGTATTGATGGCGTTCTTTTCTACCTCGTGGAACGACCAGGGTTGGACATTATAAGAATGAGTGGTGTGGAAGAGGAGGGTATTCTTGACGAAGAATGAGTTCAATTACTTTTTATACGAGATGCAAGCATGTTTATTTATCTGACTACTGCATCACTAAAGAGCTTCTTCAAGTTCTCGTTTCATTGCACGAACCACAAGAAAATTCTTGTCTGTACGCGATCGATCGTACCATGCTTCATCCTCCTCCTTCGACACGTACTTCCAGTAAATTGATCCAGGCGGTGGTGGGCTTGGCGTTGCAAATATAGACTTCATATTACTTTTGGGCATAGAGAGAACTGGTCGGGTGATAGTGGACGAGTGTGCCATTGGCTCAGGTGGGTCGCTTTCAGGCTCGGTGACGCTGTCAGGATCGTTCACACAAGGAGGGGTGATGACTTGCTGTGGTGTTGGCTCAGGTGGGTCGCTTTCGGGCTCGGTGATGCTTTCAGGATCGTCCACATGAGGAGGGGTGATGACTTGCTGTGGTGTTGGCTCAGGTGGGTCGCTTTCGGGCTCGGTGATGCTTTCAGGATCATCCACACGAGGAGGGATGATGACTTTCTGCAGTGTTGGCTCGGGTGGGTCGCTTTCGGGCTCAGTAACACTTTCAGGATCATCCACACGAGGAGGGGTAAAGACTTGCTGCAGTGTTGGCTCGGGTGGGTCGCTTTCGGGCTCGTCAGGCCAGGGAGGCATAGTATTTGGGTGACGCCTTCAATATAAGTTGTTGAACCGAGATATAATCATATAATAGTGACTCACAACAGTTGCTGTCTGATCAAGTGTTCTTTCTCTGGATGCGCATGCCAGTATGCTGGGTTGACAAACATATCATCCGAGGGTGTCATCTTTGGTGTGCTGGAACGACTGTCTGAAAAAGATATGCTAAGATACATTAGTGATAACAGTGTTAGAAGTGATGGAGAACATACCTAGTATCAGCATCGTAGCCATCATTATCCTGATCAAAAGACATATCTAAAACTCGTTGAGTGGATGTAGGATGAATTGATGATACTATAGAATGAATTGGACTTAGTCCGAAGTTTCCTTTCTTGACTTGTACTGCAGCGCCCCTTCTCATCATACCATCATTATGCCCGACACAACGACTTCACCGACAGGATACGCCAATCTCCTCATGTCTCAAATTTCTCCACAACATTCTTTTAATTCACAACTTAATTCCGGCGGCTCACATAATTTTCAAAATACCCGGCGTGATTGCGATACCAATAATACCGTGAGTTCTATGATAGAGAACTTGTTACATTAATGAGATACACGTGTCATTAGTCTACCATATTGCCCGAAGGGCTCTGGGCTCTTCTTGATCAGGGTCGTTTATCTCCCAATGATCCTGACGTCAACATGATCTCACAATTGAGGCGAGAGATATCGGAACTCCAGCACACAGTCGCCTTTCTCCAGTCGGAGAAAACACAACTCGTCAATGAAAACTTGTGTCTGAACACAAAATGCGAAACATTGCAGTAAGTTCCAGTCATATCATGCGCATATATGCGCACCGTGTTTGCTGATGCGATCAATGATGTCATGGTATATCTTCTCTCAGGACCATACTTGTTAACAGTCGAGGTTCTGCCAGCTCGACTGCATCAAGTTCTTCTTTGTCGGTTGCAAGTGACAGTACTGCGGATCGAAAACCTACTCTTCTGGACGTCGCTCGTGAAGATTCTGATCATGACCTCAACGCAATTGATTACCCACTGGTCAGATCATGGACGAAGAAAGACTGGCAGGAGAACATGCCGTCAAGTACATCAGCCAATCCTGGATCCTCTGGGAAAAAGCGAGGAGCCACACGCATGGCACGAGGCATCAATGTAGCATGTACCTACCTGCAAGACCAAGCTGGCCAGCCGGTGTCTGCACAACGGGCAAAAACCATCCGTCTTTTCATGCTGTCATGTTTTCGACAACTCGAATCTCAAGGTCTCGCGCCCGAATCCATCGGCCAAGCATCGCTCAAAGTCCTACATTGGCTTATTCACATGCTACGCAAACATTACATTGAACTCCGTCTATGCGCTGACAATTGGAAAGCTATGAAATTAATGATCGACAACTATTCCCAATGGTACAACTACCACGTCGTCAAGAAACAAACTAGCGGTCATGTCAAGTCCGAAGACATAGAGACTGCCGACGATGACAACAACATTACCCCTCCTTCTTCCTCACCATCTGCGACACCTGCTGTTACCCCTCCTTCTTCCTCACCATCTGCGACACCTGCTGTTACCCCCCCTTCCTCATCTTCTTCAACACCTGCGGCTACCCCTCCTTCCTCATCTTCAACTTCTCATAAACGAGTTAACGTTGATATCGACCCTGTTGCAGAACCAGCGTTGAAAAGACAACGAGTCGAAGTGGAGGACCTCTCACCTTCACCTCTTTTAACTGGCCCTGATAATGATTTGTATATTGCACCAGTAAGTCAAATTTTCCTTCCGTTTTACTTATTAATTGTTGTAGATTATGCCACCTGCCTCACCCCGCACTGAGAACGAAATCCCGCGACACGCATCACCAGAACGTGAACCAACCCCACCTCCCCGTACCAACAAAGGAAAAGAGAAGGAAGTGATTACTGTGGAGGTCAACAATCCTCTGTAAGTGATCGCTCTATTGCTCATTACATTCTACTGATACTATTAATTTAGTTCTAATCTTGTCTTCAAACCTCGCCCCAAGCCAATCCCAAAGAAAGCTCCTGCCTCCATCGACTCTGCCACTTCTGGAACGACTAGCGCCGAGCCGACTATCATCACCCCTCCATCCAATGACCCATCGGATACCAACGCAGCTTCCCTCGCTGTCAAGATGGAACTCCTGGTAGCGACCCCCACGGAGCCCATTCCCGGTGCAATCAACTCGAAGGCCCAACCTGCAAAGAAGCGTCAGCCGAGCACAAAGCCCATGCGTGTGAGCTCGAAGATCACGGCGCGGTAAGATTTATCTATTGCGGTCACAGCAAGTAAGGCTAACACTATTATTATTATAGGAATCTTTGTGCCCTCGAATGGCAATCGAACGGCCATCAGAAAGAACCGGCAAGCGTCTTTGCAACCTACTGGAACAGTCTATCGAAGACTGACAAAGAGGTATGTCGTTTTTGTATTGATGTCATTTATCTACTGACTAGCACTATTATTGAAGGTATACAAGCACAAAGCGGCTCTACAGGTGCGTGGTTTTCATGATATCCGCGAGTATCTTCATACTAACAATGATTTGCCTTATAGCTCGGCTCGGCTGGACCCACTGAAAGGAACGGCGCCGGCGATGATGCAGACGAGGAGTAGCGGATGGATACGAGGCGGGATGGCGGGCGCGGGATGGCGGGATGTCGGGATGGCGGAGGCGGGCGCGGGCGCAGCGATACCACTACCTAACCATAGCGATACCTATAGATACATCATTCAATGGCATTAGATACCTATTCATCTCATCTAATTGGAACATTTTCAGCACATGTTTGCATCTAAAACCCATCTAAAACCAACTAAAATCGTATCGAAGCTCGTTTCGGTCTCTATCGTTTTTCGTCTCGAAAAGTCCCACTTTTCTAAAGAGGTCGAAACATAACGAAAAATTTCATTCCCTCATATTTTTTTCGATCTATATCTACACGTATCTACGTCATTCTTGTCGATTTTCACTGGGCATGATGCTTCGCAGTTACCAAATCAGGAAAGCCGTCGGAAACGTATGTTATGAGTCTGCTAACTTCGACATTTCGAAGTTCCATACGGGGGATGGATCGATGAGACCTGAGAGAAGAGGAAGACAATGGAGGCAAGGTGAAGAGTGAAATGATGACTAGTATTATTGAAATTGTTACAGGTTGTGGTCCTGATAGCAAGTCTCAGTGTGATACTGGTAACAATGCATACAATGGCTTCAAATTGTTCCACCATCCACATCTGCCTGACATACATAGTGGACATGGATATGGTATATAAAGCGCAGGCATTTCCTCTGCATCGTTATCCCGCTTCATCTCCTCACACAGTCAATCATGTTTAAACCAATCCTCGATGAACACGGACTCATTCGCTGAATCTGTGCTCTGATGATCGTCCCGTGCTGCACTGGATGTCAGGCAGGGCGCCCCAAACGTCCTGCGTGACATCCAGATTGTCCACAAACGATGCTCCTCTCAAAGTCATGTGAACACCCCACAATGAAACACATCCAAGTTGCGGAGTATTCACCTGGCTGATGAGTTATGCATGACATATTAATCTTTGCGTGTTTTCCCCATCAGGGGCCCCTGGTTCTCAACTTGAAGCGCGGCGTTTCAGTCTCGTACAGGTTATATAAGTAAATCGGTTGGAGGTCAACCAAGGCTCGCTGCGTCTCCCGTCAAATTCGCAATATGATTTACTCAGCCGAAAAGTCACCATGCTTTAACGGCTCTACAGCCTTCAAAGTACAACAAAGACTGTAGCACCGTTAAAGTATGTCAGTCCTTCGGCTGACTAGATCATATTGCCGAATTCGACTGGAGACGTGGCCACTGGCGACCTGACCTTTCATCGATATATGTGGCCTGTATGAGGCTGAAACGCCGCGCTTCACGTTAGGAGCTATGGGCCATGAAGTGTCTGCAGTGCTTGTCTGCAGCTAGTGTAGCAATGCAACAAGATGTTGATTGACGATTCGTTTTGCCTATTTGCTTTTCAAATTCACTTTCAAACATTAAATACAGCTTGAATGTACAGTACCGTAACGAAACTTGAATCAGACAGCACATCATCCCGCTGCCTGAAAAATACCCGACGACTGTCAATCAGACCGAACATCTCCTATGCTACACACCGCTGGTTGAAATATTCTGGAAAGGAATTGACAACATGCCGGTTGCTGAGTCCCAGTCGCCCAGGAGCTTAGCGTTATATTCTCGAACGCTAAGGATCAGGCGTGGTCCCAGCACAAACATGTGCACGAGCAAGGAAATTTGACAAAAACAAAGATACATTCGAAATTCCAGGGAAGATGTGTCCTATAGGAATTATGGACCGTGGGCGCAAGCACAGGTGAGAGAGAGATCGGCGTACCGCTGAAATGATTGAAAACAAATTGCTGAGCTGGAAACAAGAAATAGCAAAAAAGCTAGCGCGTACGAAAGGTCAGCGATAGAAAGGGACCATATCCACATTACGAGCTTACATCGAAAAGTAAATTAGGTGAGTTTGCATTAACACCGTGAAACAGTTACCAATGAGCCCTCCTGCTGAATATCGTCGCAGTTCACGGAAGTGTTTTACAGCAATCCGGACAGCGAGACACAGTATAAGAACTTCCCACACAGTACTGAGTGTCCAAGTGATGGTACACACAAGTACGCCGTCTCCCTTATAGCTAAGGCTACACTGATACGTGTCGGAGAGAATGAGCTCCTCTAGTATTCGTGAATGAGCCTATTGCATCGAAGTCTGTGATCCATGATTATACTCACCCCCTGAAACAAACCTCGCTGCGAGTGTGGTCATTACTCCGTCATAGATGTTGATAGGCAAGAAGATGACAATGAGAGGTACCAGCATCTTTCTAGATCGCTGATACGTGGCATGTAAGCGGGCAATCATGATGACTTGCGTAATGTTTCAGTTGAGTGAAGTCTGGGAGACGAATCGCTCACCATCTAGCATTACATTTCCGATCATACTCATCCAATCTAGTGCGGCATGCATAACAAGGCCTGACGAATACAGTTGGTCACCGGCCTCAGAGGATCATGCTCGAAAAAAACTCACAGCTGTGGTAGTCATTATCCCAAACCAAAAAGCTAGTAGAAGACCTTGCTCACCCCTGCATTGGAATGGATTAGTTGGACTCAAATGGTTGTCATTGGTGGGCAATACTGACCACATCTGTCACCGAGATTGTCAGAACATATACTGAATGTTGCCAGTCAGAAAAAGAAAAGACAGTGTATGTGAGGAGACATACACAGCATGCCGATGCTAATTGTGAGAATGGCTCATTAGCACAACATCATTTGCTTACTAGCCTTCCAGACATACAAGGAAAACAGTAATCCAAGATAGCGCATCTAGCATATATTCTAGTCAGCACAACGTGTCAGTCGCACTTATATCATGAACCACATACACTCAAATACAGAAAGGTCATGAGGGACCAGCGTCGGCTCTGTTGCGAATTAATGGTTATTTTGTTCTGACACAGGATTCGACTCGCCCAGACCAGTTCAACCTCTGAAACCGTTCTTAGCGAGGTGGCCGCTCCGACAGTGGCACCAACCTACCTCTTGTCCAAATGTGAGTACTGGAGAGACTATGAGGTTATTGGTTGTTTTTGGATTCTATCTTGCTCACCCCAATCGTACATTACCCCAGCGGAGGCAGCAACTGCGAAACCACAGCCAAAGTTAGATCGAGACATCACCGTCATCAGTTTTACACGAACCTATAAGATAGCCGAGGAAGAAGGCCGAATCGATGGCTGGCCACCAAGACGGATCATTTGAGACTACGGTCATGTTTCTCGAAAATCGATGGATGTGGGAGGGCGTGGACTTGATCGACGTACGACAATTAATTCGTGCTAGATATACCACCATCCAGCGCTTTTATCATAGGCCGAAATGATCGCAACGGGATGATGTTCGTTCCTGCCTTCATTAATTGACCCAAGTAAGTATGTTCACATGAGAGTAGAAACGTGGGTTAATCCATGCCGGCCTTCGATTGAGTCAAAGTAGACGTTGATCACGAGGCTGCAGAGCCGTGACTCGCGCAAAACACGTTGGAAGTCAAGATACTGGAAGATTCCAGTAGCTTGTGGTTGACCTGTGTGTCTACCCTTCATGTGACGGTCGTAGCACCGGGGCGTACCAAAACACATGACATCGCCGAAGAGCGAGCATTCAAATATTCACTGGCATGTCCACCTGTTTCCACCCATAAATGATGCTGAAAATATACCGTTGACTATGATAGTGATGGGGTGCTCGAACCAGACACGTATTTAGTCCACAGGCCCGGGAGTCCAGCACGCGAAAACGTAGTCCTTAGGAGTGTATTTCAGGTTGAGTGAGCCTTACTTGTTAGAATACGAACGTAGTACCACTGATAGCCCGGCGACCGTCGGGCCCGTTTGACAACCATCCGTGGGACACGAGCCGGGAATTTTCCAGGAAGCTCATTCTAAAATGTCGTTGTCGTTTGGGACCCAAGCACCACGGCTAGTGCCGCTAACCAAAACCTGGGACTTGTGCCTAAACATGTATATGGTACCGCCAGTGGATATTGCTCTATGGAAAGAATCAGAAAGGTTCGGGAATGTCAAAGGTCAGGCTTACTGAGGATTAGGAACATGAGTCACAAGGTTTAGGATGTGTTTTAGTAAGTGTTGCGCGCCGCAAGTTTAGACCTTCAGGCACGGGTTTAGCTACTAGGGGGATCAGCCGCACTCGGGTCCAAAACGACAACAATATTAATGTGAAATGGAAAGATGTGTTACACATGTATGCATTGTGGCAGCCTAAGTCGTTTCAAACGTTTGTCGATCGACGGTAGTGGCATCGTGCTCGTAACGTGGTTTCTGCTAGTTCCTTCTAGAATCATACTGCGTGGTCTGCAGACTCTGTACAGCGCGTGGCTGCTTTTTTCCAAGGTCACCGGCTCAAGTTGCTCTTTTAAACTGTTAAACCGAGATAATCGCAAAAACATGGTAATGTGCGAGAATTTCGAAAGACATAATTTTACATAAGGCATAGTGACGATTGTTCGTAAGAGTACCAAGAGCTGTTTCCGAGTCCTGACGTACATTCATAACCATGTCAACAAATATCTAGCGACTTTGTTTCAAAATAACAATCTAGGATGTTCCACATCGGGTTCGAAGAATATGCTGATTCATCTGATACGGGCGCTTGAACTCCTTTCTGCAGCCTGCACAAACAGCCTTAATCTTCCCCTCGTGCACCTCTTTGACGTGGCGAGTGAGGTTATCCTTGTTGACGAGTGTTGAGCACCCGGACCGGGTGCATTGTACTTTGTTCTTTGCTTGGCTAGCCTGCACAACGGGGATAGACAGTTGCGCATCGGGTCCGGCCGAAGAACTCGATGGGACATGCTCCTGGGAATGAATGCCCTGAAAGTGTTGCGCAGCGGGCTCATTGAACGTGCCACGGAGCGATAATTCTAGTGATACGTTGTAAGCGTTTCAAGGAAAAGCTGCAAATGATAGCGAATTCACCGAAGCGAGCATCCACACCCGCCGATGACGATTCCGTGACACGCGGATCACATAATGCCGGAAAAACCTCAGAGTA